GGTTCCGTCCAGCTCTCCAGAGACTGAATGCTCTTCACCGCTGGTTCCGTCCAGCTCTCCAGAGACTGAATGCTCTTCACTGCTGGTTCCGTCCAGCTCTCCAGAGACTGAATGCTCTTCACCGCTGGTTCCGCCGAGCTCCCCAGAGACTGAATGCTCTTCGCTGCTGGTTCCGTCCAGCTCTCCAGAAACTGAATGCTCTTCACTGCTGGTTCCGTCCAGCCCTCCAGAGACTGAATGCTCTTCACTGCTGGTTCCGTCCAGCCCTCCAGAGACTGAACGCTCCTCACTGCTGGTTCTTTCCAGCTTACCCGAGCTCGAGCTCTCAGCCCTGCTGGTTCCGTCCAGCTCTCCCGAGCGAGAACTCTCAGCCCCGCTGGTTCCGTCCAGCTTTCCCGAGCACGAGCACTCCGCCCTGCTGGTTCCGTCCAGCTCTCCCGAGTGTGAACTCTCAGCCCCGCTGGTTCCGTCCAGCCTTCCCGAGCACGAACACTCCGCCCTGCTGGTTCCGTCCAGCTCTCCCGAGCGTGAACTCTCAGCCCCGCTGGTTCCGTCCAGCCTTCCCGAGCACGAACTCTCCGCCCCGCTGGTTCCGTCCAGCCCTCCCGAGCGTGCACTCTCAGCCCCGCTGGTTCCGTCCAGCTTTCCCGAGCACGAGCTCTCCGCCCCGCTGGTTCCGTCCAGCTCTCCCGAGTGTGAACTCTCGGCCCGCTGGTTCCGTCCAGCTTTCCCGAGCACGAGCTCTCCGCCCCGCTGGTTCCGTCCAGCTCTCCCGAGTGTGAACTCTCAGCCCCGCTGGTTCCGTCCAGCCTTCCCGAGCACGTACTCTCCGCCCCGCTGGTTCCGTCCAGCCATCCCGAACCTGAGCTCCCCTCACCACTGGTTCCAACCAGCCCCGTCCAGCCATCGCCCGAGACCGTCCAGACCGTCCAGCGAGAGACCGTCCAGACCGTCCAGCCAGAGACCGTCCAGACCGTCCAGCCAGAGACCGTCCAGCCAGAGACCGTCCAGACCGTCCAGCCAGAGACCGTCCAGACCGTCCAGCGAGAGGCCGTCCAGACCGTCCAGCGAGAGACCGTCCAGACCGTCCAGCCAGAGACCGTCCAGACCGTCCAGCCAGAGACCGTCCAGACCGTCCAGCCAGAGACCGTCCAGACCGTCCAGCCAGAGACCGTCCAGACCGTCCAGCCAGAGACCGTCCAGACCTTCCAGCGAGAGACCGTCCAGACCGTCCAGCCCGTCCAGCCCGAGACCGTCCAGCCCGAGACCGTCCAGCCCGAGACCGTCCAGCCCGAGACCGTCCGGTTCCCATCTGCCCTTCACCCGGGGACTCAACCCAAATATTTTTTGGGGGGGGGCCCAGTGACCCAGCCACGGCCGCCCGAAGGGCTTTCTCCGCCGTGGCCGCCCGAAGGGACCTCACCGCCGTGGCCGCCCGAAGGGAACTCACCGCCATGGCCGCCCGAAGGGACCTCACCGCCGTGGCCGCCCGAAGAGACCTCACCGCCATGGTCGCCCGAGAGGTCCTCACAGTCTGCTCCGCCCTGGCCTCGCCCTCATCCTGCTCCGCCCTGGCCTCGCCCTCATCCTGCTCCGCCCTGGCCGCGCCCTCATCCTGCTCCGCCCTGGCCACGCCCTCATCCTGCTTCGCCCTGGCCACGCCCTCATCCTGCTCCGCCCTGGCCACGCCCTCACCCTGCTCCGCCCTCCGATCTGCACTACACCTCCCCGGATCCTTTTGTTTCCACTCCCGGACTCACTCCCCAATCAGCCACCTGTTCCTCGTCCCGTCATCATCGTTTTCACCTGTTTGCACCTCGTTTAGTTTGATTCTTCTGTGTATTTAGTTGATTCTCATTCAGTCTGTCTTTGTCGGTCGATGTTTAATGTTACCCTGTATTTGCTCCCGTTTCCCTGTCTTCCTGCCTGTATTTTGTAAATAAACGTTATCTTCGTGTTCAAATGGACTTCTTCCGCTCCTTCTACCTGCACTCCTGCACTCCCACCACCACACCCCGTGACAATGTTACTGTGTTAGTGTGTGAGCCATTTTAAAGATAAAATTCTTTACATTCGATTGTAATGAAAACAAATCTCAGAGAACGGTTGACAAGGTACCAATGTTTTATTAGACCAAAGATTGATTTTGCGCTGGAGTTCTCCTTTAATGTGGATTAAGGGCACCGAGCAACAGTCTCGGGCAATTATTTTCTGTTGTGTGCACCAAAATAGTGTGGGTATTGGGACAGGCCCAAAATGTAGTGACGCTCATCATGGTTGTTATACCTTTTATCCCATATCACTACCATCTACCATATATATGTCTGGGCTATGGGGCAGTATGTTAAAATGCAAGCCCTTTCTGAATAAAAAACATCCAGGCCAGACTAAACTAATTAAAAATATATCCATTCTCCCAAAACCATGTGGAAAAATTTGTTATGCTCTGATAAGACCAAGATGGCTAAAATGTATCTTTGGTTTTCAGTGGCACTACATAGGATGTAAATTGTAAATGTAAATTGTAGGTAAGATAAAAAGTTTAAGATACGATTTTTTTTTTTAAATTCAAAAATGTTTTAATATGGGTGTGTCCATCGGTCAACTGTACACCCATTTGAGGTCCTGGAGTTTCTTCTAATGGGATGATAATTAGAATCCGGTGTGTTTGATTGGGGAGAAACACAAAACATAGGCTGAATCCGGAAATGCCCCTAAACCCTCAATCACTAGTACACTAATACAGTTCACTTGAATGAGTGAATAAAAACGAGAGAATGAATTCGGATATCGGCTGTACACTCCTTATTGTGGTGCAGAACGTGGGACAGTATGAGTGCACTCGATAACGTCCACTATAGTTTTGGACATAATATCAAATGGCTGTCCCATCAAATAATGGCCTATTTGAGGGTATAGGGGGTGATTTTGGATTCTGCCATACAGTATATTAGATCCAAATAACTTGGCAAATTACAGACCCATTTCAAATTTTCCATTTATGTCCAAAATACTAGAAAAAGTAGTGTCCGCTCACTAGTCCTACTTGATCTTAGCGCTGCGTTCGACACTATAGATCATAAAATACTCTTGGATCGACAACAAAACTACAATGGTGTCCAGGGACAGGCATTAAGCTGGTTTAGATCGTACTTATCGGACCGTTATCATTTTGTCTGTTTAAATGGGAAAAAATCAAAGATAACGTCTGTAGACTATGGAGTACCGCAAGGATTGGTTTTAGGCCCTCTGCTATTCTCAATATATATGCTGCCACTTGGTAACAGTTAAAAATGTACAATCCTCTATGGTGTCTTATGATTCAGCTTCAATTATGGCCCCTCTAGAACAACTACACCGCTTTACAACGATAGGACAGGAGGAGCTAAATAAACTAAACCAACAACTTGTTTATTAGATCCAATACCCACTAAGCTACTGAAAGAACTATTACCTGTAGTGGAAGAGCCTCTCCTCAATATTATTAACTCGTCTTTATCTTTAGGTCATGTTCCAAAAATATTCAAGCATGGCAGTAATAAAACCTCTCATTAAGAAACCGCAATTAGATCCAAATAACTTGGCAAATTACAGACCCATTTCAAATCTTCCATTTATGTCCAAAATACTAGAAAAAGTAGTGTCCGCTCAATTGTGCTCTTTTTTGCAAGAAAATGATATCTATGAAAAATTCCAGTCAGGATTCAGACCGCATCATAGTACAGAAACTGCGCTAGTTAAAATTACAAATGATTAACTTTTAGCTTCTGACCAAGGCTGTATCTCAATACTAGTCCTACTTGATCTTAGTGCTGCGTTCGACACTATAGATCATAAAATACTCTTGGATCGACTACAAAACTACACTGGTGTTCAGGGACAGGCATTAAGCTGGTTTAGATCGTACTTATCGGACCGTTCTCATTTTGTCTGTTTAAATGGGAAAAAATCAAAGATAACGTCAGTAGACTATGGAGTACCGCAAGGATCGGTTGTAGGCCCTCTGCTATTCTCAATATATATGCTGCCACTTGGTAATATTATAAGAAAACATGGAATTAATTTCCACTGTTACGCTGACGACACTCAATTATATATTTCATCATGACCAGATGAAAACACTAACTCATCTAAAATGACAGAGTGTCTCAAAGATATAAAATGCTGGATGACGCGTAATTTCCTGCTATTAAATTCAGATAAAACGGAGGTATTACTTATTGGTCCAAAAAAACTACTCACAAAACTTCTTACAATACAACTTTAATATAGACGGATGTCCTGTTACTTTATCCACTACAGTAAAAGACCTGGGTGTTAAACTAGACCGCAACTTCATCATATTTCATATGTTACAAGAACAGCCTTTTTCCACCTTAGAAACATTGCTAAGCTACGTAACATGTTATCTATTTCTGATGCAGAAAAATTAGTTCACGCATTCATGACCTCGAGACTAGATTACTGTAATGCTTTATTAGCCGGTTGTCCTGCATCCTCAATAAACAAGCTACAGTTAGTACAAAGTGCAGCTGCTAAATTGGCTGCTGAGTTTGAACAGGAGAGTCACAAATGATGCGCGTGCATCACAGAACAGAGCAAGGCGATCATTTGAGCTTATAAAATTTAAAACTTTTTTTTTTTTAAATGAGCAATCGTTTCGCTTGATAAGACCCTTATTCATTGTCTAGAATCATTTAAAGCACTTTGAGCAGTTTTCAGTTTGCACTGAAACTTTCTTTTGGACCTTGAACCGTTTGGTTACCTGTAAAGTGCATTATATGGAGAAAAATGAACATAGACATCTTGGATGACATGGGGGTGAGCAAATTATCAACAAAAGTTGTTTTAAAAGTGAACTACTCCTTTAAGTTTTACAGACAAAATGAAACTGTTTACAGTAGGTCAGTCGGTTGTGAATCTCACAACTGAACCTTAATACTGGGCATCTTTTTAATAAATGAATAAAAACAAACAAACAGAAGCATTCTTGCACTCACTATCATTCATCTGAGGGTTTGAATTCTTTATGTAGGCTGAAAACTTGGAGAACACATCAAGGCCTGCAGTGTTAGATTCAGGATTGCGAGCTGCCAGCCGTGGGTATCTGTGTCATAGAGAGGGATGTAGAAGAGGAGGACAGTTAGTAAACATAATGAGACGGAATACACATACAAGCACAGTGATATATGGAGCCACAGAATGATGGGAAATAAATGAGTTACTTAGGAGGGCAGAGGGTTTCCTCCAGGAACTCTTCTATCTTGTTGGTGTCCGTCTTCACCTCTGTACCGTACAGCAGGAAAGGGGGCTGAGCACCAGGGGCCAGATCTTTAAGAATGTCTGGCTTCCTAGTCACAAAAAAGAGAAATAGCACTACTTTTGAAAAACACTGTAAACATTTTGTGTAGGGCTGTGCGAAAATTAATTGTGATTAATCGCATCCAAAATAAAAGTCTGTGTTTACATAATATATTTGTGTGTGCTAAATATAATTATTTTGTATATATAAATACCTATGCATGCATGTATATATTTAAGAATTATTTGAGCTTAAATTCTGTATATATATATATATATATATATATATATATATATATATATATATATATATACACATAATCTATATTATATAAATATAAATATTTTATATATGAATAACATATTTTCTTAAATATATACATGCATGTGTGTGTATTTATATATACAAAATAATTATATACAGCACACACAAATCTATTATGTAAACACAGACTTTTATTTTGGATGCGATTAATCGCAATTAATTTTTGCACAGCCCTAATTTTGTGGCAATTTTCTGCATGGATGGAATACCCAGATGACCTATTTGATTTGCCAAAAGCACACTGCTCGAGATACCACAATACAAAGCACTTGACCTTCCATTTCCAACATGAATGAAAATCTCTTTTTTATTAGACCAACAATTTTAATTTCTGGAAAGCTGTGACAACATTGTAAGATACCATTACAAAAAAGAAGTATACTTTGAGTACATTTGATGAAGCATAATAATACTTGAGTGTAATAATACTGAATGAAGTATACTTAAGTAATGTTTATTTATATTTATAAGTATATATAAGTATATTTTTAAGTATACTTTATGTAGTAAGTATACTAACATCAATGTGTACTTGTGTACTATAAGTGTAACAGTATTAAATTAAGTACACAACTAAGTTTCTCATTTGTAATGCAAATGTATTACAAGTGAACATAAGTATACTAGTAGAAGAAACTAGTAGTTTAATACTTTAATACAAGTAGACCATTTTTTTAGTTTATGAAAGTATACACCTAAGTGTACTCTCAGTAAACTACTAGTTTAGTAGTTTATACTACAAGTATACTTGTAAGGTGTATAAAGGCCAATTTTGTAAGATGTATAAAGGCCATTTCCCAGGCCAAGCAGGGAGAGTGGATGAGATGGGAGATTGTGGAACAATGCAAGATGAGCTGGCAAGACCTTTGGTCAATGGAAGAGAGTAGGATCAATTTCCTTATCAGGTCAAAATATGATGTTCTCCCATCACCACTGTTAGATTTTGGTGATGCCGAGCAGTGGTTTCAATGGCTCGCCAATGTATTGGATTCCTCCAATACATAAAATAAGTAAGCTTGACCAGTTCTTATGGGGAGAAGAATTTATTGAAGGTTTGTAGTGTAGCAGTCTTTCAGCAGCGATGTTATCATGTCACCCTTCAACAATCTTAACCCAATGTTCTGTCTGTGAGACAGAACTTTATACATGAAGATTATGGGCTACAAACAATAGAAACCTGTTAGGACCATCCCACAGGAGATGCTAATCCACTCTGAGCTATGCTGAGTCTTTGTCATTCACACCAATCAGTTTCTGTGGGCCATACATCTGTATGGGCCATTTGACACACACCTTTGCAGACACAGACAGAGTGGATTAATTATAATACACCGTCACAATGTAAATGAATCTGATAACTGAAAATACAAAATCTATCACCACAGAACCTAAACCTCTGGGTAGGAGAGGATCCCTCTTGTCCTTTGTTCATCACCTGCCACATTAAGGCACATTTTGACAGGATGTAAGGTGGCACTTAGCCAATGTCGGTTTACTTGGCGCCATACTGCGATGTTTGGCTTTAGCATCGGAAGGCAAGTGCAGTATGACCAATAAGTTGCCACCTGTTCTAGCAAAACATCACATACAGAAGACAATATTTCTCCAATTCTCAACCAGGACAACTGGAAGCTGCAAGAGACTGGAAAATGCTGGCTGATCTTGATCAACGGCTTATTTTTCCACCTGAGATTGCCACCACTAACCTCCGACCAGATATTACTTTGTGGTCTGGATCAGCTTGCATTGCTCAACTGATAGAGTTAACAGTGCCATGGGAGGATGCTGTAGATGAGGCATATGAGAGGAAGAAACTGTGTTATGCTCATCTGGCCACTGAAGCAGAACAGCAAGTTTGGAGAGCTCAGGTTTATCCAGTGGAAGTGGGTTGTCGAGGATTTGTGGCGCACTCTACAACCCGGTTCTTCAGAGACGTCAGATTCAGTGGCCAAGAGTTGTGTTGCACAGTAAAGAACTTATCTGAAGCAGCAGAAAGGAGCAGCAACTGGCTGTGGTTGAGACGGAAATATTCTGTCTGGCTGTGTAAAGACCGCCACACTACACTTTTAATTGTTGAAAAACTCGAAGAGTCTGTTGGTTTATTGGTATAGTTTGCATAGTAATTACAGTTATTAGGTTTCTGTGTATATTGCATGAATGAGGGTTGGTGTTTGGGCAGATATTGTGTTTTGCGCTAGGTAGTATGCCATACAGAACCATTGCCACTAAACCTAGTTTAACGAAGACAGTGGGGCTCGACAGCCTTAGTCAAACGGGTTGGCGTGTATGGTTGGGTTGTGGAGAGATTGCACGATTGTGGATAGGTCACATATGAACTACGAGGAAGGAGCAACATCAGCAGCAGGAGGGATGTAAAGGTCAGTAAGCTGAACTGAGTTTAGTGGGGGACGCAGGGGGGTGACTCTGTGAAGCCAGAGTCACTGTCGAGCCCTCTTGAGGTTTCGTGGGTTAGTCGACGAAACACTGAGGATGGAAGGTGCCCACTTAAAGACCAGTGTTTCCCCTACCATTGGTTTAGGGGGGCGGCCCCAGTCATAAAAAAGGAATTTACTGTATATTTTCGAGGAGTAAATAGAAAGCGGTTCAGTACACTTGAAATCAAATCTATAGCCCCTTTCACAGAGCGCATTGATCCCAGCAAATTGCCGTGAAATTGCCAGAACGCCTTCTGTGTGAACGCAAACACGATCCGGGGTTGATACCGGCATCGATGCCGGGTTGGGGACCAAGTCACATTGCCGGGATCAGTCCCGGAACGCGCGCTGTGTGAACAAAAGCCAGGACCAATGCTGTAAGGGGTGTGTCGTAGTGATGATGCTCGTGCCGTCGCACGACTCTGTTCCTCTTAGAAGAAAGTTTGTGTTCATCAACAAAGAAAGGACGAACAAATGCCTGCAAACTGGAACGCAGCAGAGACCAGGAGCTCCTTCTAGGGCTGGGCGATAAAACGATAACGATATGTATCGCGATAGACACGTGATCGATATCAATAAAAATGTGTTCGATAAAACGTTTGATATTTTTTTCTTCGTCGGAAGAAACCACAGGTTGCGAAGCAAGTTTGGTTGCATTAACAAAGGCACTCACTCTATGGTAACCTAGTGACGTAGGGAGTGACACGCTAACAGGCAATCATGTAACGGTGTCCGTTTGGTTGCGCCATTTCGTCGTCTCGTGCTGCTGGATTCCTCTTCAGTAACCGGAGACTGAGAAGAGAGAGAGAGAGAGAGAGAGAGAGAGAGAGAGAGAGAGAGAGAGAGAGACACGCGAGGGCGATCGAACAGTGGAGTTGAGTTGAAGTTGAAATATCTTTAATGTCCCCAAGGGGCAATTTAGTTCACAACAGGTAGCCAACACATACACATTTACCCAAAAACAGATAAAAACATGAGATAGTAAATAGATAAAAACAAATAAAAAAATAAAACATAAATAACATGTCCTATAGTTTGTTGAGAAACCCAACAGCTAATGGTACAAATGATTTCAAATATCTATTGGATCTGGCACATTTTCGGTAGGTATACCTCCTTCCTGATGGTAGGAGGCAGAACTCTGAGTGTAGTGGGTGAGTGGTGTTAGCCAGAATGGCCATTGCCCTCTGTGTAGCTCTGACCTTATGCGTATGCTCAATGCTATTCAGATCAATACCAATTATTTTCCGACATATGCTTACAGTTTTTCCCAATCTGTTTTTGTTGATTACACTTAAATTGCCAAACCAGCAGATCATAGCAAAGGTTAAAATTGACTCAACAAAAGATGAATAAAAAGCTTTCAGAAGGGATCTATCAACGTTAAATCCTTTCAACTTTCTTAAAAAGAAAAGTCTCTGATTAGCTTTTTTGCATATATAGTCTGTATTGGTGTCAAAGTTCAGTTTATCATCTAAAATGGTACCCAGATACTTGTATTGTCTTACCACATCTAACGTCATTCCATTAATCAAAGTTGGAGCTGTGGTTGGGGGGTTACGGCGAAAGTCAATACACATATCTTTGGTTTTAGAGACATTGAGTTGGAGATATGAGACATTAAGGAGACATTAAAACTCTGTCATTTTGTTAATGCAGGACATCATTCAGTCTGCAAAGTGTTGACTTACATTTGTGTAGGCCTATACGCTCAATAAAACACAACATTGTGCTTTTGTTACACTGTATTTCTTGTCAAACTGTAACCTACAACTGTCACACACACACACCTTAAAAGCAAAACATATCCAAGCCCTTTTTTAAACAGGCTGTGGTGTTCCATCTTTTCGACATTCATCATATCACATTGGTTTTCATTTCTTGTCCTGAAAACAGAGCACTAATCTGTTTGTTTTTAAGTTACACTTTAAAGAAAGAAAATTAAATGTGTTGGCAGTATTATTTTATACGGAAATCATTTATTTATATTTCTGAATAGAATAAAGAATAAAGTCAGGGTTAATTAAAATGAAGTAAAACAAATGTATTGATCTGAAATATAGCAAATTAATTTGAAATTAGTTCAGATACAATTACCAAACATATCTCAAGGTCTTTTTATTAATTTGATAAACTAATTACATAAAACTATTATCGGTGCACAAATAAACTGGTTCTGTCTTTATTAAAAAAAACATACTTAAAAAATACAAGGCTTAAGACATTTATAAAAATGCCTTCTATATTTCTGTTTTGCTTTTCACTCCACTGTACCGAAATTGTACCAAAC